AGGGGACAGTCGCTGTCCCCAGATGAGGGCTGGGGAAGCTGACATCTGGGATATAGTCGAAGATGTCCCTGCCCATTGCAGAGCTAAGTGACCTTTAAAGGTCCCTTCCAACCCAAACCATTCTATGATTTGATTGAGGAGGGATTGTATGTGGGCATGCCTTGACCAAAGCAGTACTGTATTACTTGAAACATTAGAGTGAATTTTGATGGAAGTGCTTGTATCTTCTAAAGGCATCAATGACCTGGCAGTGCCAGCATGTATCATGTTGAGCTTCCAGTGTCTGCTGAAGGCTATGTGGTTAATCTAAGCTGTTTGTCCTGCCTAATAGGCAATCCCAAGTAAGGGATTGTTTTTTCTCCTCCCCCCAGACATGCCGTCTGTATATTCTACCTAGTTCTCCGTGCCCTGGACACTATAGAGGATGACATGACCATCAGCTTAGATGTGAAGGTCCCAATGCTGCACGAGTTTCACTCCTATCTCTATCAACCAGAGTGGAAATACACGGAGAGCAAGGAGAAGGACCGGCAGGTGCTCGAAGACTTCCCAACGGTAAGGCATCTACCTCCTTGCTTCAGTTGCCCTGTGTCAGCTCTGTGTGCCTGGCTGTCTCTCTGCATTAAACCTGCCTGTGCCTGCTGAGCTCATGCAGTCCCTGGTGAGCCCATAGCTCTTCTGAAGAGCTACATCACTTGCACGTGGGGCTGGATGCAGAGCTGGAGTGAGAAATCTCAATACCATGCAACTCTCTGTATGAGAGTCTGGCTGTGGAGAAGTGCCAGCTTTAAAAGTGGCTTTTTGCCTCCACTGTTGGAAGAGTAAATGACCATCACCTTGTGGAGAGTGTTTTGGACTGGCACTGTACTTACCTGGGTTGGTTGTCCTGTACTCCTAGGAGAGGAGGAGAGCTTGTCTGGCATTTGGCTTATGGATGGACAGCATTTGTAGTGGCCCTGTAAGATCTGCCCTTAGAGCTACAGTAGTCTGTCTGCAGAGCTTTGATGTGTATATACTCATAGAATCACAGAGTGGTTTGGGTCGAAAGGGACCTTAAATGTCATCCAGTTCCAACCCCCTGCCATGGCCAGGGACACCTTCCATTAGAGCAGATTTCTCCAAGCCCCTGTGTCCAACCTGGCCTTGAACACTGCCAGGGATGGGGCAGCCGCAGCTTCTCTGGGCAACCTTGGCCAGGGCCTCATCAGCCTCACAGGGAACAACTTCTGCCTAAGATCTCATCTCAATCTCCCCTGCGAGTTTAAAGCCATTCTCCCTTGTCCTGTCCCCACAGGCCCTTGTCAAAAGCCCCTCTCCAGATTTCTTGTCAGCCCCTTTAGGCACTGGAAGCTGCTTTAAGGTCTCCCTGGAGCTTTCTCTTCTCCAGGCTGAACAAGCCCAGCTCTCTCAGCCTGTCTCCATAGCAGAGGTGCTCCAGCCCTTGAAGCATCTTTGTGGCCTCCTCTGGACTCACTCCAACAGGTCCATATTCTTACGCTGGAGATGAGATAAAAAGCATCCACACTGTTAGTTACAATATTGCTCAAAGTCTTCCATCTCCAAGGATCCTTCTAAAAAAAGCCACAGAGAGTCTGCATCTCCATTAGCAAGTTGTAGCAGTATTGGAGCCTGTTCTCTGACCTGGAGGCCAGTTGAGAAAGTCTGGCCATGTTCAAACCATTAAAGTCTCTCAGCACGCCAAACAGCATGGTTGTGTCCCCATAGTGTCCTAGAGAAGTGGTTTCTGGCCTATGCTGCTTCCCAGGCGGTGCCTGGGGGTTGCTTGGGGCCAGAAGCACGTCAGGGGCCATGTTGATGGGGCAGCTGCGGGTGATTGGGAAGGGGAGAATGCACTTACATATATTTATATATTATAATGTGAGGGCAATCGAGTCACTGAATCATGTTACTGAATATGCAGAAGAAGGATTTCTCACTCCTTAAGTTGTTTAGTGCCCTTCCAGTCGTGCAAAATGCACACTGTGGAGCCAGAGCTGGAGAGAGCTCAGGAGAACAGAGTACCAGAAACCTCCCCTGCCTTTTCCCGTGGTTGGTGTGATGGAATGCTCTCACAAACTACAGAGAAACCCCAACTGTGCACCAAGTGTAGCTACTTCTGTGCTGCAACTCCCGGATAATACCAGTCAAGGCCACGGAGCCTTCCCAAAGATACCGCTGTGTCTGATCTGCCGCCAGAGACCATACTGAGAAGAGACAGAGCCTGTGCTTTAAGGGCCTTGAAACAGCTCTTGGTTGTGGGAGTTGTCCTGTATCTCCAGCCAGGGTGGGATAAGAGCCTTGTAAACAGTCTTTTTCTGATTGCTTAATAAATGTTGAACCCTGCTGGTTTTTCCTGACGCTGTCTTTTTTCCTTCCTCGTGGTGGTTTGTGCTGCAGATCTCCATGGAGTTCAGGAACCTGTCCAAGGTCTACCAGGACGTGATTTCAGATATTTGCCACAAAATGGGCGTTGGGATGGCAGAGTTCTTGGAGAAGAAGGTGGACTCTCAGCATGAGTGGGATAAGGTAAGTCAGCCTGGACAGAGGAATGGACTGAATGTGAGTAAGATCCACCATGTCACTGTGGAAATAGGAGATAAAACATTGTGGGAAGAGGGTTTGGCTGGATGAGGGAGACTGTGTGGGCTTGGGAAGGCTTTGAGACACTGCTGGTCTGGTGGGTAATGGGAGGGTGGCGTGGCTTGTTGATGTTGCCCACCAGCACATGTTTGGAGTGAGCCATTGCATCAGCTTGTTCCCCTGTAGGGCGTTCATTTGGCTGACAGCAGCAGAGTGGCACCTTGGTGGGACATGGTGAGGTGTTTGCTGAGTATGGGAAAGCTGAGATGTCCCAGGAAGGGCTGTGAGAACTTGCAGAACGTGTAATTTCAATGAGTTCTGAGCATCATTTTTGTAAACTCACTGTGGTAAATAGGCAGCTCTTTGTAACTGCTCCTTTTATCTTGTTTTGTTCCTGTCTTGCAGTATTGTCACTACGTTGCTGGGCTGGTGGGGATCGGCCTTTCCCGTCTCTTCTCTGCATCAGAGCTAGAAGATACTATTGTTGGACAGGACACAGAGCTGGCGAACTCCATGGGCCTCTTCCTGCAGAAAACCAACATCATCCGGGACTATCTGGAAGACCAGATGGAGGGAAGGGAGTTCTGGCCCAGGGAGGTGAGGGAGAACACTGTCTTGGGGTGAGGTTCCTGCTGTGTCTCTTTGGGAAATGCACTGAGACTGAAGGTACTGTTGCTACTCTGATACAGTGAGTTACATCCTCTTGTTAGGAGGTTTCCTACTGGAATTTCCTTTGAAATACCCAAATCCAGTTTTTTTCCCCCACCTTTTGTTGGTGTCCCGTGACAGTCTTTTACACTTCTGTTGGAGACCTCTAACGGATGGAGCCAACCGTCCATGCTTCCCAGGACACCCGTCTTAGGAATCCATTACAGGGTGCGCAGTGGAAGGTGGACAGCTGAAATTGTACTGTCTCTCGTGTCCCTTTAAGTCAGAGTTAACAGGAGAGGCTTGGTCTGCTTTGATTTCATTGAGATCTGGCAGTAAAGCTGTGCTGCATAAGATTGCTGCTGTTGATTGTACATCTTGATAGTAACAATTCTTGTAATGTTGCAATGTTCCTGCTTTTCTAGACCCTAGTAAGCCCCAATCCTTCAAGGTTTTCGTGGGTCTCTGGTGGTTCATGTTGGTCACCCAGGCCTAAGACTGTTATTGATGTCACTCTTACAGCATGAATGTACCCTCCAACTTGTGAATCCTTATCTTTGTGTTTAGGTTTGGAGCAGATACGCAAAGAAGCTCTCGGATCTTGCCAAACCAGAAAACATCGATATGGCTGTCCAGTGTCTGAATGAGCTCATCACCAACGCCCTCCACCACGTCCCTGATGTCCTCACATACTTATCCCGCCTGAAAAACCAAACTGTCTTCAATTTCTGTGCTATCCCCCAGGTACGTTATGCTTTCAAGTGGTTCTTCCTCATCTGCAACCCAGCTGATGAGAAGCTGGAGGTGAAGGATGTTATGTATCATGTTGATACTAGCCTGTTTCATTCTCTGTCTCTTTTCTCTCTTCCTTCTTTCCTGATACCTACTCTTATCTGCTGTTGGTGAGATTGTGGCTCCTCTCCAGAGTGTCTTAGCATCAATTTCAGTAGAGCCGAGGTTACTCCCTTGGCAAGCTCCTCACAATGTGGTAAGGGCTCTTTGTGTTTCTCCTCAGGTGATGGCTATTGCCACATTGGCTGCCTGCTATAACAACAAGCAGGTGTTCAGGGGTGTAGTGAAGATACGAAAGGGACAAGCTGTCACTCTCATGATGGATGCCACAAACATACAAGCAGTCAAAGCCATCATGTACCAGTATGTGGAAGAGGTAGGTTGAGCAGGTTGAGTAATTTCTAGCTGTTCCCATCCTCATTCATGACGTGGAACTGGGAAGACACATGAATTTGCTAATCCTCTCCTTACATCTCTTAGCTCAGTGGTGGTAGGGAATGGTGACCGTGATGTGGTTTTGGCCTGGACCAAACTGGGTGCTTGGTCTGTGCTTGTGTTGAGAGGTTAGAGACTGAAATCCTGCTGTCCTGGTGGAGAACCACAGCAGGTAGCTCTCACAGCACCTGGGCTGAGGAGGCGCAGAGGACCTTTCCCACAACACACTTCTGAACAGGTTGCATCATCTCCCCATGGGCTGCTCCAGCGAGCACTCTTGTTTCCTCGGTGTCTGTAATTGCAGCTGGCAGGATGGTGTGGTGGTTGTGCTCCATGGCCAACAGTAAATAAGGGCAGCTCTTCCCAGCTGCTTAAAGCAGTGGGACTCCCAGCTTCAGGGTACTGTGGAGGTTGAAAGTTCACAACTGGTGGTTGGTTTCATGAGAAAATAAAATAGCAACTAAAAAACAAATGCAGCAAGGGGTGTTGAATAAAAAGACATTACTTCTGCACCAGGGAGACCCCAAAACATGGGTTATTAGAGCTCCCTTTGTGGGCTGGCCAATCCCATGGCAAGGGACAGTAGCACTTCGGCACCTCAGCCAAAAAGAGGGTCTGTGCTCATTCACACCTCCCTAAGCCCCATGCAGACAAGTATCTCACTGCATTGAGCAGTGCAGGGCAAGAACCCCTGATTCCAGCAACACTGCTTGTGGTTGAGGGATTATGTCTGATGTGGTCCATCTCCCGTCATGGGGTGCCCTCAAGAGGCTGCTTGGCTTAGTGCACTTCTCAAGGGAAATGGGCCCTGGCCCCATCGCGGCATCCCTTGCAGCTGGTCCTTGCTCCATGGCAGTCTACCACTGAGGTTTTTCTTGAGGACATGGTGGCCCTTAACGTTTCCCCTTCCACCCAGTGGTCCCATTT